CCCCAAAACCCCAAAACCCCAAAACCCCAAAACCCCGGAAAGAGATTGGGAGGTTGAGATGTGAGTGGGTTATGAAGGTCTTATTGTTGGGATAGAGGAATTAGGTGAAAATGGAAGTATTAGGAATTTGAATTGTAAGGAACGGTGGGATGGATTTTTTATGATTAACCTAAAGGTTAGTACTGTTTATTTGGTACGGATGGCTAGGAGATTAGGAGATTAGGAGAGTTCAGCTATGAGAACATTGCTCAAGCTTTAGAGAGATATATAGGAGGTTATTCAGCCTCATTGCTAATAATTCTTTTGTTATTAATTTATGTAAAATCTTTTGCTATTCTGTCATATTAATAGTGTTTATTCCTATAAAATTCAGCCCAAAATTGTAATAGAGCAGTCAGATAAAAGGAAATAAGCCTTAAAAGTATTCACACATCATTTCCATCCTAATAAATTGAGATCGAGACATTAAATTTTGAATTGTAAAAAGCAACCACTATCATTTTCATCCTCAAGATAACCAAAAGCTTGCTTTGATCTTGACTAGAGGAGTCGAAAGAGTCGACAAAAAATTAAGAAATGAACCAGCTAAAATTCTGGACACTCTTCTCTTTACTCCGATATAATAAATTTTGAGAAAAAAAGTATCGATATTTTTGAAGAAAACTAAAATTGTGTCTTATGTCTTAGCTGATTTGAAGGGAAAGCATTCCTTGCAGCTGAATTTATTCATATACTACTAGCCCGAGATAATGACTCCAAGTTAGCACTCACCAAGGGAACCTTGGCTATGGCTTTAATATTGAAAAGGAAAGTAAACAGTAGGTTCGATGCAATTTTTAGCAGAAATAATTAGATTTTAAGTCATCTGGGTTAGCAGCCCAAGTGCTAAGATAGGCAAAATTAGCAACTTCTTGGCTGATGATGTGGAAGTGTCTGGATTAGAATCTGAGCTTGAGCTTGAGCTTGGAGTTGGAGTTGGAGTTGAGATAGTGCCTGGCATAACTAATGTCACATCTTTTGGGTACTCATCAAGATCGCTAGCTATATATTTGCAGAATCTCTGAAAACTCCGGTATAATCGAGTTTACTAAAGCATTTGAGGTAAGCAGTAGTTGCTGAATTTGGAAGCTTGTATGTACTAGCTAGCGTATCCCCATTAACCTCTGTAGCAATGTTGTATATAGATTTTAGGTCTGAAGCAACTGAAGAATCGGTATCATCTGGAGCCGTCCCGGATATAGGGTTGCCTTCTGAAGCTGATGATGTACTAAATACTCCTGTCGAAGATGTATATGTTGCTAAATATGTGTAGTATTTAAAGTACGACATTTGGGTGGGATTAGCACAACCGCTACCTCATCTGAGTACTGTAGCAAAGACAGGTAAATCAGTTGCATCTGTGGTGAGACTAAAAGTCGAAACTCCAACATCAACACATTGCAAGTTATGGTATTTGTATGCTGTCATCATTGAAGCTGGGAAGCCAAATTGAAGCTTAATGGTCATATTGTCATTGGAATTCTCTGTTACCAACAGATCAATTGACATCCCAGCATCAGCTCCAGAGCCAGTGATGAGGTTGGTAGTATCTGTTGCAGCAGCTCAAGCCAATAAGATTAGTGCAATTGGGAGCGAAGTTATTAATTTCATACTCATTATTAATTATGATTATTTCTTCTACCTTAAATATGTTTCACGGGGTTTTGGGGTTTTGGGGTTTTGGGGTTTTGGGG